ATTATAAACCATAAGTCAAAATAAAGGGCTCCAATGTGGTCTTGGCAATGCATACCAAAAGTACAATCAGGGACACCATCTATGCGTAACATGTCGCTGTTAATACTTTAATATTTTTTAACTGTTGATAGAATCAGCCTCTCTGAGAGCTACCACAGAATTCGCGAAACCTGACTACAAGCTATCCTTAGAACCATAAAACTGAGTTTTAGATCTGTACCTATATTAGGAGATAATCAAATGAGTTGCCTAGTCATAAAAACAGAGACACAAGCAAAACTCATGCATCGAGTCAAGAAGATCCAGCATTCAACATCCTAAACTGGAAACAATTATTAAAAATACATCTGTGTCAGTCTAATAGAAGAAGGGGTGCGAGGCTGGTTAACAGATAGAATCTGTTCACCCATTAAATCTTTGCCTAGGAGGCTTTCTACAAGATAACAGCCGGATGCATTTAACATGTGCCCAAGATGAGTATTTTTATCGAGACACCATCTCTAGCCTTTACTCAACCGAGAGCCCCAAGGAAGGGGGTGTTTTATGTCGAAGTTGGCATCTCCTAGCCTTTGCCTAAAAAAGCGTGTCCTACAAGGCAGCAGGGCATGAAGCAGATTGTACTGGGTTACATGTTACCAGTAGCAGGATAATATGACCTGATCGAAATTTAAATTTATACCGCGATTGTATAAGAATTGTTTTTAAGTCATCAAAACAATGTCTCCATTAAAAACCGATAAAGTTATTATTAACTTTCCTACAAATCTATCTATTTTATTAAAAGAAAAAAAAAATCGATGAAAAAAAATGTTATTTTTTACTAAGGCTCAACGTTTCCCCAGTTGTTAAAGTATGAAACTTCTTTACTATATCCTGAAGTAGAACTACAAAACATCTCTTTAAAGTGTGGCGATTCTAATGTATTGTCACTGTTTCGGGTATTTGGGTGCGCTGAGATTTATGACCTTTAACAGACTTTCTTGATTCAGCTTTCGGAAATGCCTTAATTTTTTCTGGGCTTGCTTGATGAGAGATATTAATAGAAACACTCTGTAGTTGTCTTCCAGGGTCAGATATTTTTAAAGGCTGAATAGACAATACACTACAAGCTGAATTCAGGGCCGGCGCGAGTAGTATCATGTGGGAGGAGAGGTGCCATTGCAATTTTTGCTAACTAAAAAAAAAAATGACTGCGTTATTTTTATTTTGTCGACGACCTAGTTGACACTTGCCGACTGAATGTCTAAATTTGCCGACTGAATTGTCTAAAGGGTCTACATTTATCGGCTGACTCGTCTAAAAGGGTCAAATTTGCCCACTAAATAAACAAAAAATTCATTGATAGGGTAGGGGGTATCACACACCCTCTTTGCGTCGGCCTTAGCTGAACCTGATGATAGACTAGACGTCAATGACTGATTAAAAGCTGGGGCATGAGCAATAGCAGAAACTGGATCAGCAACTCCTGTAAATAGGTTGTTTCATCCATTCTAAAAACGTTGCAACATTCATCCAACCAAATGGGCTTGCAACCCTAACACAATCAGGCGAACTAATATTTATCATGCATTCTTTGAAATGAACAATAAAAAAATTAAAAATGGAGGAATTGAGTTTCTTATTGCATCAACTGCATAACAAATTGTTACCAATGTTCCTCTTTCTGCTGAAGTTATCCTTCTAACTTGCTTTTACTCCTTTACTAGCAATTACTTTACTTGGTTTATGAACAGTTTTGAGACCTGTCTTATCAACATTATAAATGTTTTGTGGCTGAACCTTGTGTCACAGACAAACATCTTTTATATTGGTGAAAAATTCTCCAACTGTATAACGATAAAAGCAGTTGCTTCTGCCAAATTAGTAAATATATTTATATAAACTTCTTTTTTGTTCTTTTTCGTTCTTTTTCTTTTTTCATTTTTTACCAAACAGCACAACTGAAATTTTTCTTGATGAAATAATTATAAAAAGAGATACTGTTATAAAATTCTTAGGTGTTAATATTAATAAGAATATTACTTTGAGAAAAAGTATCAATTATGTAAGTACCAAAGTTTCCAAAAATATTGGCATTTTATTTAATGTCCGAGCTTATCAAAATTGCTCCTTTAAGGTGCTCTTTGATAAGACCATTACGTTATCATTACGTCTTTTTGGAGCATTTTAATAACTAAAATAAAAAGAAAAGTAAATTTAAAAAATTCATTCTCTATACTCTCAAGTCCTTAATACAAGAGGGGTGGTAATAAAAGGAGGGGGAGGGGTTTTAGTCCAGAATTTATAAACGGGAGGGGGGGAGGAGGGTTTACAAAAGGATGGGTGGGAATTTTTTACAACATAAGTATTTTTTTTTTTAATTTTAGTTTATAAATCCAAACAAATATTTTTTACAAAACATGCATAAAACTATTTAAATCTAGTGTGGCTTGCGGTCAAATGCGCGCGCATTTTCTAACAAGCTGTTTTGTAGGATTTAATAAGTTTTATGCTTTGGTGAGAAATAAATTAAAAGCTCATTTTCGATACTTGCTTGATGATTTTTAAAGTCTGTTTACAGTAAAAATTTTTGTTTTTATTCGTGACTGTAATAAATATTTTCTAATTTGTAAGGTCGATTTTCACCTTTTTTTTTTTTTTTAGATAGCAATAAATTGGGGGGGGGGGGGGTATATTAAGGACTCGAGAATATGAACTATATTGTAAGACTATACAAAAAAATGTATATACATTTATAGTAAAAAATGTGTGTTCATATAGTTTATAAATCTTGAGCATTATACTTAAATAAATTATACTCAAAGTTCATAATGTTCATTTGTGTATGTAATGTAATGTAATGTGTATGTAATGTAATGTAATTAATCTTCAGCATTGTACTCAAATACTTTATACATTATGCTCAATATCCCTTTTCTTTGGTATCTTCGTAAATCAATATATTAGTTTGCTTTTAAGGTATGCGAAAAAAGGTCATAAGGTAAAATCCTTATGACCTTTTTTCGCATACCTAGTTTATATTGCTAGCAAGCAAACTGAATACATCTTGTAAAAATTTTTTATTATCTTATTTTCATATATGTACGACATTGTAAACTAAAGAATAAAAGTATGCGAGTATGTTTCAAGTAAAAAAAGGTCCTTGTTTTTTGAAATTCGCCGACAAACTGGTCTAAAAGGGTCGAATTTGCCGACTTAATGAACGAATAATTCATATATGGAGTGGGGTATCTCCCCCTCTTTCAACAATAAATTTTTCATCACAACCTCTCATCCTTCCCCCCCTCCCCCACACACATCCCTTTGCGCCGGCCATGCGCTTGACAGTAGCTCTATGGCCAGATTAGGTCGATAATTAAAAGAATAGTAGATACAAGAATTTTTGTTAAAATTGCAATTATCAATTTAAAACTTTAATACAATTTAAAATATTGAAACAGTTTTAGTTGTATTTTGTTAAAATATTTAACAGTGCGTTTAACAAAAAATAAACTGATCGTTTTCTAAAATGTAAAACATTTTTCTTAAAAAAGAATTTTCTTAGATTAAATAAAAACAACTATCTTGCACTACATCTTTTAATAACTGAATACGCAGAAAGACTGCTTTATTGCTGATTTCATAACTTTTGTGTTGACGAATAAACCAACATCTTTAAAAAAAAAAAAAACAAGCTTTTATTAAAATTCCGAGCATGTATATTTACATTTTAAGCATTTATAAAAATATGCAAAAGTTTTTGCCATTTCATGATATACGGAATATAGAATTAATAAACTTCATTTGTTTGTTGTTGTTTTTATTGCTGCCAGGGGCCATAAACTGTGTATTTAAAAACTTTCTTTTATTATTATTTTGGTTTAAGCGCCCGATGAAGATTAACTGGCTAGTCGACTGATTTTCAAATAGTATTTTAAAACGTTTTTTTTATAACTCTTTGAGAAAGTTCTTAAAAGAACTTACAACCAAATTAATAATAATTTATAAAGTTAGCATGTGGTAAGATATTTTGGTTTAAGTTATAAAATAAGAAACTTGATTTAAAAAACCAGCTTTTGAGTATTTTTATATAAAAATTTCTAATAGAATTCCAATAATTAAGGTGGCGCGTAATGAAAAAAACTACTTAATTTTCAAAAAATTTTTGACTTTCTTCAAAATATACAATGCGATGGAAAATTTGTTATATTTTCATAAAATGTATATATTTTGCATAAAATATTTACCAATAGAACCTTTTATTTTTTTTACTTATTATTTATTTATTTTCTAAAAAAATATATTATTTTAGTCTTTTATTGCAACTTTAAAACCTGATTTCTGGAAATTAAAGAAAAGCTATTTGACTGAAATTTTCAGTAAAATGAATTTATACTTTAAATTGTTTAGTGAAATCATCAAAAATCAAATTTCTATGCAATACAATTATGCAAAAAACAACGAAAAAAAAAACAATCAAGTGACACTTCATTAAACTAGGTGGGCTCTCTTGTCAAAAGGTAAATAAATGCTTAATTTAACCATACTGCATGTTTGAATTCCTTCAATAACTAGTTATTAAGAGTACCGAGTTAGGTAAATATGACTTATTTATTATAATCTGATTATTATTAAGACGACTCATATGGAAGATCTATCATCATTTCATTCACAATCGCTAAAAAATATTTACCAACCTATTTAAACTTAGCTTAAATATATCAAAATTTTTCAGTTCAGAAAAGAAATATCTATAACTTTATTACAACATTTATATTATTTACAGTAATTTCACATATTTCATACTTTACATTTTTTATTTAAACATTTGTCTAAATATTCCTACTATAAAAAAGTATACTTTATTTACTGCATTGAAAAAGGAAGAGGGTGCTCCTTAATGTGCCTTTTTTGTCGATTAAAACAGGAATTGAGTAGATCTTTAAACTTTATAATTAAAACTTTTGAAATAATTTTGATTTAAGACATGCTAAACACAACAGAAAGAAAAAGTTACCAGATTTCATGACAATCATTTACTTCACTTATAAAACATAAAATATTATTTAAAAAACACAAAAAACCCAGTTAATTTTTCTTAAAGCAGTCAATAATAATTAATCAATATCATCTTCAAGATCCAAGTTCTTTTTAATAGCCCAATCGCAGAACTCATCAAATAAAATGAATCCACCATGGTTCTTGTCGATAGCTTTAAATTCTGCCTCAGGTTTAATTGGACCAACCCATTGCTCAATTTTTGATTTTGCAGCAATAAATTCCTGTAGAGTAATACGATGATCTGAATTGTCATCAATTCGTGTGAATGCTTCATAGTACTCGAAATATTGTCGAAGAGAAAGGAGAAAAAATCTAAATTCTTTCCACTCAATGAAGTCATCACCTGATTTTTTGTTTGACTTCACAACACTCTTGGCAATTTGAAAAGCTCTCATGATGGCTGGTTTAGCATCAAAAACAGCATCTAAATGAAGCACATCTCTAATACCTTTATCAATTTCTGCCAGTGAGAGCATCCCATTGCCATTATCAAATGAGTCAAACAAAGCTTTACGTTTTGCTTTTTCCTCATCACTTCTTCCATGAGGAAGTTTAGCATTGATGTCTGCCCAATTAATTTCTGGCATTATAGAGTATCTAAAGTTAAAATATGATTGTCATAAATTTATTTCAATATTACAAAAAAACCTACCAATAAGAAATTATTGGAAGTAAAATATTGCAATTTTAGTAGTGGAAGTAAATATTGCAATTTTAGATAAAATACATAATATCTTACAAAAATGTAATCTCTTAAGAAATTGAAGCCTTATGATATATATGAAAAAAATACAACAAAATATATTGTCTAAAGTAAATACTATTTTGTTATTAAACAAGAACAAGTTGTTTAGATGTAAAAATAAAATATGTTAAAATGAGTTTAAACATTTTAACTTAATAAAAGCTCATCTAGATTTTCTGCATTAAGTTACAAAGCTGACTTTAAATATAAAATAAAAATATTGTTTTAATTTTATTAAGTCACAAAGCTGACTTTAAATATAAAATAAAAATATTGTTTTAATTTTATGTTTGCATTTGAAGAAACGATGAGCTTTGCTTTTCACAACACAAAACGTTGCTTATGCGTGTTAGACTTTTGATATGTGATCGTGTAAACCTATATTTTAAATATAATGTACATACATTAACTAAAAAAAAATTTCTACCTTGAGAGCGAACTGACGATCGACTTCAATGATAAAGATATGGTAATTGTAGGGAGTGAGTACGATTTTAAATGGTTAAAAGTTTAACAACCTTGTCACCAAAGTACGCGATAACAATAAATAATAGTTAGGAGATAATGTTTCTTTTCATAAACGATTAAACTGTTATCCTACACGTGGATCAACAAAATATTTGATGCGATAATATGACATTTGTGATAAACTTTGTCCCAATCTTTAAAAGGAGCTGGAACAGAGTTTCAAAAAATGAATTAATTATGAAGCGCAATATTGTAAATTACAGAAAAATCCTTTATTTTTTTATTTTTTTATTAGGTGCCAAGTAACACAACTTTGGCCCGCCTTTAATAAATTAAAATATGATCGTCTTATATCAAGTAAAATAATAACAATATAAAACGTTACTAAGTGTGGTAACACGAAAGTAAAATAATAAGTTTGTAAAAATTGCAAAGCCGAATAGTTTCATTATTTTTGTAAATATTTCAATTAATCTAATGAAATAAAAATAAGTCTCCTAAGCTGCTTTAACTTAAAACTCTATTTTCCTCTAAACATTTATACATACTGAATATGTCAATTTAATATACAAGTGTATCCAGTACCTAAAATAGGTGATTGATAATTTTGAGCCTCTCTCTTCCCCAACCCTTATCTATCACAACAATAAAAGAAGGAAAGGTAAACAAACATATAAGCCCTTAATATAATACGTAATAAGTAATAAAGCATATATTATACGTCTTTTTTCCGTAGACGAGCGTGGCATTAAACTAATTAAAATTTATTGCGTTCTCTTACGAAAAAAGTGGACAATTGCAACCCTGATATATACATATACATTATATGCTAATATAAAGTTACAGTAGTCTTCTATTTTATTAAACTAGCATTTATTAGAAGTTTCGTTTATGCAGAGCAACTTCCAAATATATTTCTTGTGGGTTATTTAAAAAGACAGTTTAAAAAAGCCAGTTGAAATTTTCTGCATTCAAAGTTATATTTTGTTTCCTTATAAAAGAAACCCATCAAATATTCAAAGTATTCTACAAAAATGCTGACATATTACCTAAAAACGCGGAAAGTTAAAGGAAACATGAATGCAACGGAAACGCACAGCTTTTTCTATAAATTTAATCTTTTGTGTTATTTTACGAGGAAAAGACTTACGCAACATTTTGTTCCAAGAAGTGCCGAATTTAGAAGTGTGAAGGCCTGAGGGCAACACAGAAGTGGAGACCCTCTGGTTTTCCAAATAAATTGGACTATTTAATTCGGTTAAGTTTTCCTACAAATGTTTTATTGTAAAATCAAATACAGATCCGTTTATTATTTAACAAACATATAAATATAATCGGAAACAAGAACTATTTGAAAATAACCTTTTTTCACGATGTTGACGATTTTGACGATGTTGACAATGAAATTTTCCGAGGTTTTTTCGCCGAAAAATAATTGATGATTTCGCTGAAATCTAGTTACCAAAGTAAAACACTTTCAAAGCTCAGGAGAGAAAGTTATGATAGACAGTTTTGTAGCATCATGGTTCGAAGTCTATTTTTTATAACTTGTTTTTTTTTAAAATGAGCGCTCTCAGTGCGTTTGATACCATTAAAACCAAGTACATTGAAGTTTCAAGGTTTGGAAATGTAGCTTTGAATAAAAATAGTAAAAGAAAATTTTTATCTCCGCAACTATGAAAAGAACTATATAAAATATTTTTAAATGATTTTTTAAATATTAAACTAAATGATGAGTCATAAGTGTTTATGTAGATATTCCTCAAATTTATTTGTTACTTTTTTGTGTGATATATATATATATATATATATATATATATATATATATATATATATATATATATATATATATATATATATATATATATATATATATTTTGGTGTAGTATAATTTTTTTTTTGGCATGATATAACTTGGAAAGATCTGACTCCAAAAAAAATATTTATAAATCAACAGCAAAAATGCTGAATTTTCTATAATTTCCTTTATTTAGGAATTATAATTTGGAAAAATAAGTATATAAAATAGTTATTGTATCAAAATTTATATTAAAGTTTGTATCAATATTTTAATAATATATTTTTATCATAAAGATAAGTTTAATGAGTGTAGAAGTCTGATTCACGTTTATGCAAGCTGAGCAATACATCTAACTTTCTTGAGCTAACACAGGAAGTTTCATGATCAGCAAGTTTTGATTTAAAGAAATGTTTAGAAGGTTTGACCCCACTTTGTTTTCTCCTCTTTCTTCTACCACTGTTCTGTTTGGTTGGGATTGCTTTTAATTAATTTAAATATATATAAATTACAAATCTAAGTATTAAAAAAACAAGAACAATAACTCTTAACAGAATTTAAATTCAAAAAATACAAAAGTGGTATCAAGCTTACAAGGGACAAAAACTGCAGTTAAATTGAGCATCTTTTTAAGGAAAATAAGGCCTAAACAACCAAGTTAAGGTGGTAGTCTACCTTGAAAGATGAAAATTTTAAATTATACTGTTTTCCTCTATTTCATATACGTAGAAAATGGTGGTGATATTTGTTTTTCTTAAAAATCTTTAGAAATTATATAATTTCATCATTAGACATAGATAGTAAAAAAAAAATCTGACGCTTAATTTAAGTGATTTTCATTAGAGCTTTTTACTTGGATCTTTTAAGAAAAATGAATTCTTACTTCATTTTTTTTTTCAATCATTGTACTCTTTTAAAAGTAACCCAGGGTATTCACATGCAGTTTCAAAGTATAACCAAAAATAGAAACATAATTATATTCAAAAAATTTATCAGAAGCTTGATTTTGCTGCTGGCAGATATATTTTTTATTTATATATTAATCTTTGTCTTAATTAAACATAATATATTTAATTCCTTCTAGGAGTCATACTTATATATTTATTAACTTAATGATTATTATTTAAATTTAAAAAATAATAATTAGTATTAAAAATAAAAAGTTGATGTTGGGAGAACACTGAGGACAAGTGGGTCAAGAATTTTCAAAAAATTGCGTTTTCATGGCAAAAGTTTAAGTTATATTTTGTAAGAATCCATCATTGTCTCTGTAAATGGTTTTGTAAATAACACAACTTTGACAAGTAATTTTAATGCTTTAACTTTATCAAAGAAACTTACCTTAGTTAACCAGCATCAACTTCAACAAAACTTACTTCATTACCTAATCGAATGGAATTTTCCACAGTGTTACATCATGTTGGATAGCTTGGTTTTTAAAAATATCATATACGAAATTATGTTATGTGTCCTCAATGTCAATTAAGGCGTATTAAACTTTCTACAGAGTTGTCAAGGAAGAAAGGACTGTCTGTTTTATTTAAGTTTATATGTGCAGCCTCTATCTGCTCATGGAGTAAATAAGGTTTACTCTAGCAAAGAAATCGATGACGGATCTGGTGGGCAATATCAATCGGATGTTAATATGAGATCCATTATTGCCATGAGTGTAGAAATATGACACTATTTCTTGTCATCTTATTGCTGTTGTTTATATTTGTTGTTCTATTGTTATTTTATTTCTAGAAATGTTTAGTTTATATTTATTGTTACTTTATTTCTAGAAACTAACATTGTTTAAGATATATATGATCTGGAACAACAACTGACTTTTGTTTATCTTAATATTTTCTTCATGTATCCAATGGAACTTTAAAGAAACACTGGTTTTACAAAAGATAAAAACGTATTGACAAAGCTTGACATTGTAACTCCTTTATGTTATTTTGTTTGAAGTTGTTAATGTATGCACAAGAAGGTAGGATTTTGTCAACCTTTTTTTCTTCCACAATACATCCACAATAAGCTTACCTTGCCAGGCTCCAGGATGCAAAGTTATTATCGAAGGCCCCAGCGAAGCAATTGCAATTGCACTATTTAACAGTCACCAACTTCATCATCCTCCAAACTCGATTGACATTCATTCAGACTTCTCAAAGCAGAAGGCACCAAAAATGAATCGTCCCCACATCAGAGGAGATGACAGACAACAAAATGAATTGTCGACACAAAAGGAGATGACAGCACAGCTGTTTCAATGCTGTGAAGACGACCTTGGAAATCAACTCCTGAAAGAAAACTCTAAGATAGTTAACGAAAATGAAGACACATTTCTAAAAGCCATGAAAAAACTGGCTGTTATCCCTGTGACTATTAGTGTCAGAAGAGCAAAACTCCTTCAAATGAGACAGGGACACAACAAAAATATTCGGTCATTCTATGCAAAAATAAAGGGCAAGGTAGCTATTTGCAACTACACTGTGCAATGTAACTGCCACCCACAAGCAACTGTTGACTTTACCGATGCTATCATACGAGAGATTGTTGTTGCTGGAATATCAGATATTGACATTCGTAAAGATGTACTTGGATGGGCCTCCCTTGACACAGCCTTAATAACAGATTTAATTGCTTTTATCGAGGGTAAGGAAATGGCACGGAATGCACTAGGCTGTAGTTCAACAACAATAATGTTGAGTCTCTGCCTCAACATTCAACACATGCCCGCAACATATACTACCTGACATGGAGGGGCCACCAATTAGTATTTTAATCCAAGACAATGTCAAACCAGTAGCAGTATTCACTCCAGTCACCATACCAATCCATTGGCAAGACCAGGTGGAGAAAGATTTACATAGCCCCATTTAAAGCTCTGCTCAAAGCGTTCAACAAGAGTACGTATCCCGAAAAGATTCTACCAACCTGAATCCGGTAAATCTCTGGCGTTAGACGACTTCAAGAAATGAATCCGAAAACTATGTTTATATCGATTGACACTAAAAAAAACATGAAAGGGGATGTAGAAATATGACACTATCCATTTCTTGTCATCTTATTTTTGTTGTTTATATTTGTTGTTCTATTGTTATTTTATTTCTAGAAATGTTTAATTTATATTTATTGTTACTTTATTTCTAGAAACAGTTGAAATAAATAAATAGTTGTTGTTATCATATATATCTTAAACATATTAATACTGCAATGAATATTATTAGTGCGCATAGTTACGCATTGTTATGCCTATTGTTCGTTTTGGTAATTATGGTTCTGCATTATGTAAAATACACTATTTCTTAGTTTTTAGACTTTTCTAAGTGCAGTTATATATTCCAGGCAGTCTTTCGAGTAAAATCAGCAAGCAAATTGGAGCTGATACACTTATTTTCAAGAAG